ATCTCCCAACATCTCCCAATAAAAAGAATATAATGCATCATAGTTTAAGCAATCGTGCGCATCACTAACTACTCAGGGGAAGCAGTGGGTCATGTATAAAAGGCTTTAAATCCTGGTGACCTGAGACACAAATGACGCCAACATAAATCAGAACATGCATAAAATGAAACAAACAGTCCATATCTGTTCAAAACTATTTGAATAAAACAACAATATATATATATATATATGTATATATATGTATGTCATAATTATGCATACACCCTGCTCATACCATATCCCACCAAATATATACCAAAATACCTTCCTGCAACACGACATTTCCTGATATTTCCTGACCACTATCCAAATCTACGTTAACCTGTTCTGCGTGCGCCTGCCTATGTATACACACATATTCACACAATTTAACCTTATCCACACAACCACGGGACCCCAATTCCACAAATCAAAAGTAACCAAAGCATGTTGAAGCAAAGCTAGATCACAGGATGCGGGTCTGTCGGAGCCAGTCCAACTCGTGGAGGCGGTCCAGGTACGGGGTGTCCAGCAGCCATAAGGAGTCAAGCCACCGAAGTACCAGACGGTCCGCCAAGACCTGAAGAGGCAAACTGCAAGTAAAGGATAGTAAAGGCATGTAAAGGCAGCCAAGAAAAGAAGATGGAAACATTGCAAGGCATATCAAAATTCATCAAATTTTAACTCCGCCCTGCCGGATTTTGCCGGCATGATCCGGCATGAAAAGACATCAAAAAGCTTCAGAGCGATAGTTGAATGATGTTGAATGTTGATGATGGATGATGGTGGTTGTTGTATGTTGTTGTTACAACATGTTACAATTTGCTACATGTTATTACATGATTCTGCATGCGTTCATAATTGTTCATATGTTGCCATGGTATGTCATGGTAACCTTCCTCCAAAGGACTGACCCAGTATCCGGCTCGAACTCCTGCTCCTCCAGACTGTCCGCATTGTCCGCCGTCCGATTTGTGGCTCTCGGACGGTCCACAACCCGAATCGGGTTGTCCTGCGGCCTGGGTGGCTCCAGAACTGGAAGAGCGGCGATCATGATGTCCGCAGCATCCTGCATCTCCTCAGAGGCCATGGAATCTTTGGCCACTGATGAAACATGATGAAGCCGGGCCAATCAATGCCAAATCACTTGCTGTGTCCTGTTGCATGCTGCTTCACTATGTTTTATGCAAAAAAATAACACATAGAAACTGCTTTGTGCAGGTTGAGCTGCCTGCAGGTGGCAGTGCCCTTCTGGAAGCTCCCCGTTCTCCAGATAGTGCAGAAACCTCAATAAGCTGATATACATTGCCAAAAAAATGATATAACATGTACATCATGGATCGGCGTGGTATGTCACCATAAGGTACCATAAGCAATCATAAGCACTTTGAAGGATTGTATAATTATACAGAAAAACGTGTTCAGAGCCATGCCAAAGCACCAACGTCTTGGACGGGCCAGCCATACAATGCCGGCAGGAGACATTCAGCCTGCCGGCCTGACATGATCAAGAGCCCCGCCAATGCTACCCCAAGCGTGACTGACCGGTGAAATCCCGCGGAGCATCCGATCCTGAATGATGAAGGAACATGATGGAATATGGAAATTTAACATAAATTAACAAGGCTAGGAAGGGCCTGGAATATCCTGGAATGGCCTGGAAGGGCTACACGACAAAAAATCAAAAACTGAAAGGGTTGCCAAACTTTCCAAGGGGCATCACGCAGGCTGCTGGCTGGAGCAAGATCGTGAGCAGGACCGGCTGGGCCATGGCATGACCCCACACATGCTCCTGCATCCGCCTCTCCAACCCAGTATCTTCCCCTCGTGCCGGGGTTCGGGAGCAACGCCTCAGAGCATAGATGAGCATAGCAGGGGAAAGCAGTCTGGAGCAAGGACCATGTGAAGCACTCCTAAAACTTCCACAACAAAATGAAACAATATCATACAATATCAAACAATGCAAGAAAAATGAAAGGCCACTGCATACAACATCATACAGCAGCTACGAAATGCTACAAAATAAAACAAACATGAAAAATCAAATCACATCAACTCGACAGTAAATAACAGTAACCAAGGTTCAAATTGTGGGTGGTGACTGACCGAAGGCACCGCACGCCCATAGTATCCGGCAGGTAGGACGGGTCAAGGAACTGGCCAGATGGCAGCACAAGACTCGCACAACACTCTGCTAATCTCCCTTACCATTCTTGGATATTCTTGGGATTTCTTGGGGGTCTCTGATGTTCTTAGTCTGATGGCATCACATTACATCGACAACCATGACAAGCTTTCCAATGCTGGGCAAGTCACCTTCTCGGGGCCATACCGCCTGTTGAACCCAAATGCAACGACCAGCACCTTCCTCGGCCAGATTCTGCAAGACTGGCCGGCCGCCTCCGGAGACGACAAGGTGCAAACTGGACAACTGGCAAGGTGTCACGACATCAAGAAGCAACAGCAAATTAGGTTTCAATCACTCATACACATTTTTAGCCCGTTCTAGACAAACCATAACCAAGATTGACCAAACTACCATGAATACCTGTGAAATCATGTGAATACAATAAAAAACTTCAAAGAAACCCCGTTTGCATGTATTGTTTATTATTTCACTATGGCATTAAATTTGCTTGTAATTGTTTGTAATCTTGAAATTACGAATCATTTAATATCATCATCACTCTCAGACCATCTCAGACCAAGGGACCCATTCCATGACACCAGAACATCTTCATCATGCTGCTCCCTGATATGGTCCCACAACTGGTTGCCTGCTCTTCAGCACAAGAACCATCATGAACTATCAAGAACCAACATGAAATAACATGAAGCAAGTGGGAATCCTCTAATCCTCTTGTGGGTCCATATGCAATGACACCAAAACTCAGCCACACAATATCACACAGCACCCACATGTAAGAAATAAAGCAAATAAGGACAGAAGTATGCTGAGGAGCGAAGGACCGTCGCGAGGCCCCCCGTCATGGAAGCAGTGCTCACGAACGTGGCGGCACCAGAAGTCCCTTGCCCTGCACCACCGCCCACACCGCAGGCACGACATGGGCAAAGCGAGGGACGGACCAAAGTCAGTGATAGTGCTATTGAGGGGACGGACCAAAATGATATTGAGGGATAGTCATAGTGAGGGATAGTGATAGTGAGGGATAGTGATAGTGAGGGGCTGGTGCTTTGAGCGGAAGCCAAGTCGTCCAGGTCTTAAGGCAGCTTCCCAGCCGGTCTGTGTGAAGCATATGTAAAGTAGGGCTCAAATCCAAGGCTTACAGGGATTCCTGGGTGAACATGTGTGTGATGGCCTTGTGAACGGGATTCTGACCTCACCTCAATTGTTCAAGGTATACCGTGTACCCAATTGTCCGTACAACTCCAACGGCGTGTGACTGGGTATGAACCTCATGTCAAGAGCATAGACATATAATGACATATATGTTCCATTGAGCTGTCCCATAAATCCGCTCCTATCCGCTCCTCCGATATAGAAAAAAAAGAACGTCATGTCTAAGGTCCAGACATAAGCTTCCATCGCCCGTGGCCCAATGATTCAACCAAATGGCTGCGAAAAACATGGACGGACCACAGCTGCGGAAAGAAACAAGCGTAATTGAAAATTGTAATTACATACCCCACCCCCCCCTCAATTACATTTTTAAGAGGGTGGCCATGTAAATGTCCAAACTTTGTTAAAATATGTAAATTTTCAATACGTTGTAAAAACTTTGTAGTTCCAAAGTTTTGTAAAATTCACAATGTACTGTAAGTTTCCAAAACTGTGAAGTTTTTAAACTTTGTAGACTTTGTTAAAACAAATGTAATTCAAAAACTTGGTTTAAAAAAGTTGTAATTCCAAACTTTGCCTCGGTAAAACAGTTGTAATTCCAAAACTTTATCAAAACTTTGTAGAAAGTTTGTCTGAAGACCTGCGAAAGCTGTTCAAGAAGAGCTGATCTTTGAATCAGTGAGACTGCTTGCATTTTTTGGTGAAAAACGTGGCATTTGGTGCTTGCGCTTTGGGATTTTGTGTTTGATGGCTGTAGTGTTTAAGGGTATTGAGGGTGAGAAGAAGGGTCGAAGTGTTTTTCATGGTTATTGGTTGTGCAAGTGTTTTAAGACTTGGCCACGGAAACACCAAAACACTTCTTTCATTTTTTCCAAATAACATGGAGGAAGTGATCCAGAAAGAAGAACCACGATTCCTAGAACCAACGGCGATTCCAGCCCCTCTGGAAATCCCTGTTGAAGCAATGAAAAGAGTTGGAGGTGAAAGGAAGCCAATCACCAAACGGCAAAGATTTGGGATGTCCAACTTGTCGGCCTTCAGGGACTCAAGGGTGGAGTCGATCTCAGTGGCCAGCTGTTCCAATTTGGCCATGCGAGCCTTGTCCTTGACATTGGACTTGATCCACTTCCAGGAGCATCATCCTCGAGGACAGGGCGGCGTTCACCAATGATGAAGGGGCGCATAGGGTCCGCCGCTCGAGCCTTGCCACCATGAGCGTCAGCAGGGAGAGGAGCGGAAGTGGTTGTCCAAAGTGCGGCCACTGCAGGGCACTGGTGGTGTGTGTTTGGTGGAACGGGGACGAGGGGTGGTCTTGTCGGCCGCATCTGGGGTGTCAGGAAGAGCACCCGGTGAATGTGGGGAGGCTAGAGGAGCAGAGGCTGCTTTGAGCTTCTCGTTCTCCTTGATCAGTTGCTTGTCTTGAAGGGCTTCAGTCGTGTGTTTGGGCATCTGATCACGAAGAAACCCAAATAACTTGTCCACCAACAGGTCCAAACCCCGACGCTTCTCATCTCAATCGTCCTTGAGTGCGGGAACGTGAAGGTGGCCAACTCACTTCTTGCGATGTTGGTGCAAAACACTTCTTGCAAGCAAACACTGTAAACTCAAGCAACTTAACAGTTCTGGTGGTCCATCGAACATGGTTCGCCTGCGGCGTGCGGACCATCGGTCGCCCGACGGCCTCGTCCATCGAACATCGCAGCCATCTCGTTCAGCTGGGGCCTCGACGACGAGTTCGGAAGACCACTTGGCTCGACGAGTTCGGAAGAGCGGGGGGTGCCATCCACGGATCCATGGATTGTGAGTCACAGAGTGTACATGTTTGTGAGTATATCGGAAGAACAGTAACACATAGTATGATATACGTATAAGCTTGTGTATAGAGGATCGAACATGATGCATGCCTGCAAATCAAAGCTGAATAGGAGACCCTAAACCCTGGAGATGGGAGGGCCTCAGATGGTAGCTGGCAGGCCAGTACGATGAGGCACAACAAAGTAAAACAGTCTCAATGGATCCTGTTATATACATAGTCCAAACACTCCATAGGACTGCAATATATGCCGCCCCATTGACCCCTGAAGCCACCCCAACTGATCGGCATATATGGCAGTCCCATGGAGTGTCTGGGCAATGTAGGTCAGCAGTAGTACCTTGGACTGCTTTCTGGCTCTCCGTCCGGGAACCCGCCATCCATCACTCCAAGAAGTCCCTCTGTCGAACCGGTGTGGGGGTTGTTGTCACCTTGTCGAACGTAAGACCCTAGGGCTCCAATCATCTCCTCAGGTTCGGTGGTTAGACCCCCCTGGCACCCACCCCAACCATCTTCTCAGGAGGTAGTTGGAGCTTTAGGGAGAAAGAACCTCATCCGCAGGTTGTCGTCACCTTCAGACCGTCTAGGCTGGCCCCGCTGGTAGACGCCGGCTGTGCAGAAGGACAAGAAGGAGGTCACCACGGCGCTCATCTGTGCTGCTCCTGCACCAGGTCTGCCACCGACTGGGCAGACCAACCGTGGCGAGTGAGTCGGGGAGCCGAGTAGAACCGGTGAGTGAGTGAGTGACGTTTTCCCCAATGGGCCAGTCCAAAGTGGAATGAAGGGCAGTAAGGAGCACCCGCTAAACTAGATATATAGTCCGGCACCCAATCTAACATCAACATGACCACAAGAACCGCCTCATGACAGCAGCTGTATCAAGAGTGTTTTCCCATTCACTTTTCACATGATCCACGGTTTTCGCCCTCCAAAGAAAACCGGAAAAAATAAAAAGCACATCGAAAACATGAGAGGTTCTGCGATCCATCCTCGAAACACGGAGGGCCTGACATCATCACACTTGGAAGTAGCTTGACCCTCCAGTCCCCCCCAATTGTGCAGATTAGACCAGGTTGTTCATGCGAATCACCTCGTTCGGAAAGCCGGAGGGGGAAGAAGCACATCTTCCCCCAAAGGGGATCTATCGGATGAATGAAAAAGGAACCGGGAACATCAACATCACCCGAATAGCGAAAAAAGTAAAAAAACAACTACGGAACACCAAAAACATCAACATCACCCGAAAATCGTCCAACTCGAAAATCGTCCAACTCGGGAAAAAGACAAAACAACACCAAACCATACATTTCCATTCTCCTCAGCACACAAACCCGGTATCCGTTTACTTCCTCCCTCTCGTCGGGTTCACGGTTTCAGTTCGTTTCATGCGTGCGTGCTGCATGCTCGATAAAGGTAGAACATCGATCATCCTTTGAGGACATCGATCATCCTTTGAGGATCCCTACACGACCAATTCATCGAGATGTTCCGTGGACTGCGTTGACTGCGTTTTTTCTGCGCCCTTCCGCCTTTTTTTCTGCGTCGAAACTCGACCGCTCCTGGTGAGAGGATGATGCTGAAGATGTAGTTCAATCCAAAGACCTCACCCAAAGGCTCAAAGATTCACGCACTCACCCGTGTGGTGACTTCAAGGGCTCTAGAACTAGGGTCCAGTTCCGTTGAAGTGCCAGTTCCCATGTGCCTTTCCTGTTTAAGATGATGTCTGTTTCCTGTTTGCACTCTTCTCATCGACTTTCCATGATCTTGGCAGGCAAATTCAATACCAGAATGCCGTTTCGTCTCAATGTGCTTACATCTTTTACGTCATGAATCATGTTACATGTTACATAATGTTCCTGTTCAATTTCAACGTGCTGTGAAACAAAAAACAAACACAGCATGTGTTGCATTGTGCTGCTGTGTTCCATCCACTACAGTAACTCAGCCACTTCTGTGATCAGCAGACAAAAAGCGCCCATCTTCTCTCCGCCGATTCTGGGAGGAAAGCCCGCACAGTGCGTTCGTCGAGGCACGGCAAAGACAAAGGCCCACGCACCAGCGAAGATCTGATGCCTCAGTGCGGAAGGAAAAAACAGATCTTTCCAAGACATCGATGAGGAACTTAGGTCACTTGCTGGCGAAGGTGATCACATGAAAGTCACTTGGAGAGCACACCCACCTGGTGTAGAAATATCATGAAGGTCACTTATGTATAGATTGGATTAGTTTTGATTTAGTCATGAAGGTGCCTTTTGGCCCAAAAAGCCTATTAGCGCCTTTCTGCACCATGGTGATTTCCACTTTTCCTCATGGTCAACGGATTCGTTGGAGATGAATTTTCGAGCATGCAGCATGCGTGCGTTGAACAGTGTTCCATTTGCGCCAACATTTTGTGCTACACCAAGAAAAGGCCTTTGTCTCTATTGTCTTGGTGCCCCAACACAGCGCTTCACACACTTGACTGCCTAAACGAGTTTTTCCCCAAAATCATCACAAGTCATTGAACTCTCCGATGATACAAATGATACATAGTGACATAGTCTTCTCATGTACCTTCCCTTGAGCCTGGTGTTGAGACATGCTTTCCCATGTTTGTCTTCCAACGCGTGATCAAACAAATTCCCTTCACTTGCACTTCAGGGCGGGTGTGGTTCACCAGCCCATCCAAGAATGAAGTGGAGTCTAAGGTTTGTGCATCACAGGGTCTACCTCTACAAAAGGAAAGGAGATTGTGGAATTTCCATTTTTCTATTGCATACAGCAGCAAGCAGCTAGCGTGGACAGGTGTGGACAGGTGTCCGGCAACGAATTCACAGGATCATCCTCAGCGGTGGTGGTTGAATTCCTGGTGGTGGACCAATCAGTGGTATGCATCCGGGTGAAGACACACCGAGTCATGGATCTACCATTCTTGGGCGTTTGCCGCCACCGTAGGAACAGGAGGGGCGACAACAAAAATTTCTCTCACTCTCTCTCTCTCTCTATACATATATATATATATATATGTGAAACAGGGGAGAGAGGCTGGTCCAGCTTCAAGGCCAAATGTAGCACACCACGAGGTACAATGCTGCAACTGACGGCCAAAATCGGGGCGTGACACTGTTGGTTTGCGTTACGCTATAGCTGTAGTTCGGGGGAACATGTTCGTTCGCATGTATATCTTGCATCATAAGGTGTGTCTGGGAGCCGAGTGGGAGTGGTAGAAAACGTTGAAAACACATGGTTTTCGCACATCATCTATGACCGACTATATTTCTGATGATCTTATCTTTTTTTGTTACGTCCATGAATGGCAGACAAACGGTTCCTCTCAACAATCGATCTCTTCACATATCTTTCGTGCTTGCATCATATATGCATCAGCTGGTTGCAGTGATAGCATATGAACCAGCTGGTTGCAAGTGTGTAGTTTATTGTGCAAATTGCCTGCAAATTTGTACACTGTGGACTCCCTGTTCCAAAAATAGTGATTATAGACACTTCTCCACATATTGTTCATCCACTTCATGCGGTGTTCATCTCTAAATGTTGCGTCGATCATGCACATTGTCAGGTTCACTCTATTTTTGGAACCCCTTGAATTGTACATGTTCAAGGTGTCTAATTAATAATATTCATTTGCACACATTGTTGGCTATACTTTGGACCCCCTGCAAAACTGTACAATTTCAAGGGTGTCGACAAATATATCAACGATGCTTGCAAGTTGCAAGGACAACATAACAAAACAATACAAAACAATTTTTAGGGGTCAACAAAAAGAGTGGTTATAGTGACGGACATCCACTTAGAACATCTTTGGGATTTTTCAAAAGTTGCCCTGGTAAGGCTTGTTCTAAGCGTAAGGCTAAGAACATTGTCACAATGCAACGTTCTAAGTAAGGAGCTAGAACATTGAGGAAACTCGTCCTTTCTTAGAACATTATCATCAGGTATGACCATGAGAGAATGCACAGTTGATGAATACACTCTGTGGAGATGCGCTTGTCTGCAGACTATCGGCTGCATGCTTAACAATGATGTTCTAAGTAAGGGTGGATGTTCAAAGAAACGGGGATTTGAGCATGTTCTAACTCAATCTTTAAGAACATGGCCCAACAATATTTGCAAATAAATATCGAAAATACTATTTATTAGACACCTTGAACCATTGACAATTTCAAGGGGTTCCAAAAATAGGGTGAACCTTACATTTTGCACGGGGTCCAAATTATACCTGGGAGGAACCTGCAGTACCTGGGGCGTTCATTATGTTTGTTATTCGGGCCCAACTGGGAGCGTTTCTTGTTGAATATTTTTGAGCAGCGCAGCAGCTGTTTGCCCGCCTGCCACCTGTAGTCAAGTGCCTTCCTTGTGATTGAACACATACACTCTATCTTTGAAGAAAACCCTCTCTGGCAATTGGGAGCTCTGCCCAACAATGTTTGCAAATGAATAATGAATTAAATTTTATTAGACACCTTGAGCCATTGACAATAAGTGTCTGCAAAGAGGGGGGCACCATGGCACCACCCACGAAGGATGCATACTTTATATCAAGGAATTGTATGCAAACCCCGGGGGGTTGCAGCCGCCCGGGTTGGAAACATCACCGCAAAACATGGACTTCCATGGGCTTGTGTACCACCCCTTTTTGCAAGCGGCTTTCAGCCAAAGAATCAAATAAAGCCTCAGAAGAGGTTAAGCAAGGATCCTACAGGAAGCGAGCCTGAACAACAAAAAGCTAGGCTCGGATAGTTTTCCAGTTTCACAATTTTACACATTACTCCACCCCGTAAACAACTCGTAAAACATATGTTTCCTGGGTTTTTTGTACTCTCCAGTTGAATATATGTTTGGGGAAATGAATTGAATTTGACGATGTAGTCAAGGATTTTGAGAAGGGCTTTCAAGAACAAACCTCAGAAGAGGTTAAGCTAGGATCAGAAAGGGAAACACCAGCTGAACAATAAACAACTACCATAAACCAACCTGGTTGCAAAACAACATGGCCCAAACCAACTTGTTTATTTCGACCACCATAAAGCACTGAGACTTTTCATTACTGTATTCCCTCCCACATGACTAGTTGGCGTAAAACAATAGTTAACATTTACCTGTTGCACAAAGGAGGTAAGAAGAAGCTCTTCCCTCCCTTGATCAAAACGCCCCATGCAGTCCGCCTAGACTTTTCAATGAGTATTTATAGTTTGGAGGGACGTTGCGACCCTTTCATTAATCCAAACATACCTTAGCATACCTTGAGCACTGAGGACCCGATAAAGATGCCAACAAGATTGAAAGAACGACTCAAGCGCCGGTGGGAAAACACAATTGTAGAGAGCTACCTTGCCAGCATTTGCCAGCCATTCCTCTCGAATTTTGGGCTTCAAATCTTCCGTCAAGGGGTTGCGCCCTTCTCTCCGCATGTGAGCCAAGAGCTCTGCAAGCGGCAGCCAAGCCAGACTTCACGATTCAACTTTTGAGTGCTAGGCTTTGTCCGCAGGCCTTGCCAAAGGAGCAGCCTCAACTTCCAGCTGGACCTTCGCCTGCTTGGCTTGTGAAACTTCCAGCTCGACCTTCGCCTGCGGCAGCATTGTGGCCTGGGCTCGACCATGTGGATGCATTGGCTTCAGGCGCTTCACGTGCTTTCTGATCACACACTGTCCTCAATGCGGGTCTTTGACCTTGCAATTTCCACCAGCAACAGATCCTCGTCCAAGCGATTTTTGTTTTTGAAGCCTATGTTTGTTGTAGCATAGTGTTGGGACTAAGCCATATCGATGTAGGTGCCAATGAGTTTCCAGCCTTCCTCGTGATTATGTGCCGGACCTGCAAGAAGTCATCTACATAAACAGCAAGCAACTGAGGAATGTTCACCGGCGGCTGAATTGTCTGTTCAAGTGCCTGCGCCTGGTCTATACACCTGAAGAACCAACTCAATCGGCACAACAAAAGATTCGCACCAAGGAAGAGGAGTTATATATCTTCGCGCGCAGTTCCTATACTAGGACAGCAACTGAAAAGGAGACAAGTTCTTACAAATGACAAGCAAATTATCATCAAAGGAGAAGGAACATGTTTTGAGGGACTGAGGGACCAACGAATACTCTATACACGAAAGATGCAATGAATGCAGCAGGCAAAGCGGACATACTAGAATATTTGGCGCCAGGGACGGTACACGTTTGGACACGCAAGCGCGTAGTTGTTATAACATGTTATAACATGAAAACACAAAGGGTTGTTTTCAGGAGTAAGCGGATACATGCATCTAAGCAGCGGATGTGTATGTACATGCGCCAACACATGACTTGTACACGAAGGATGCAAGAAACGCAGTGTCAAGAATTTCCCACCAACACCAACATATATACTCAAAATACAATCACAATATTTAGACAAAAAGTTGAAAAAAAACAAGTTCACCATCCAAACAGCATGTAATTTTCATAGACCGCAAAGCACTTAAGGAACGTTTGCCGATGGTCAAAATGTATGGTCGTGCGCCATGTTTGCATCCCCCCAAAAAAACAAGTGCAGCAGAAAACATCTGCCAATAGAAGTCGCATCAAGCATGATAGGTGCTTAGACGTGGGACACACAATTTACACGCAGACAAGAACAAGACACTTCAAACAAAATCATAGGAGATCAACATGAAGATATGACAACAACGGCCCACTACCAAAGGAAAAGGCCATGTATTTTCACAAGGACGGAGGCATTATTTACATGCAACACGTGCAGTGAATGCAGTTCTCAAAGGGAACATAGTGAGTACTCGAAAGAGACGCATTTGGACACGTGCACCAGGTGTATAAAATATCAACATGCAAGCGCACAGCTCACACACGCATATAAAGACTGATCCCGAGAAACAGCCACAACATAAGCGAGACACCACCAAAACATCAGCGAAACGCCCAGCCACCGAGCCTGAGTGTACAACCCCAGGCTATCGCTGTGTAAATAGATCTAGAAGCTTGAATATGGGTTAGTTAGAGGTTCGATAGATCTATGGTCCGTTTCAGTAAGGTAATATTTCAGGGAGTGTAATTCAATCCTGTAAACCCATCGTCTTGGCCAATCCAGCTGGCGTCATGCCAGGACCCACCATAAACCAAATGAACCATACGGATGGTGCTCTTGACGGATGTGGCCCCAAACACACGATGACCAGGGCCCAAGTGACACAAGATTTGGTCTACTCTTGCTTCTACCGGGCTATGACCGCACCCTATGACCCGTCTGACACTGACATGGCGATGGGCCGAGAAAATGATCCGCTCCAGCCACCAGAGCGCTCTGAGCCCAACACAGTGGGATCTGACAGCCACTGGCATAGCCATACGCGGCAGTGAAGACTGCCGAGGACATGGTCACCTGACGTCTCAAACCCGCAGACGGACTCGGCGCGAGCATGCTGCGCTAGCCTCTTCCAGGCTCCCCGGTATGTGGTTGAAACCTCTCGGGGAAGGATCTCATGGATGAAGGATGAAGGGATTATGTTTTGCCCAAAACATGGGTTTAGCCTGTTTGAGGATCATTGGAAGGGCATGATGAGTGGCCTAATATGCCTACGAGCTTTCGCTATGCGATGGCCAGCTAAAGTAGGGGGTTCCAATATGGTTCAACGACAAGACCACTCCTGAAGCATATCGTAAATATAGGGGGGCTAGGGCAGCCGGGGATCTTCAAACCAATTGATCTTTGAGTTATTTTCCATGGTGTTACAACCCTTTCTTTTGGAAGACATGCCTGGGAAATGATTGACTCGCTTGTGTTTGGACTTTGGAAAATGATCAGAGCATAGATTAATCCCCCTTGAGCTCTCAGGTTTAAGTTGGACCTGTCCCAGCAACCAATCTCAAACATCCTCATCGCACGGTCAATCGAAACAAACTCTGACTGTGAGTCGGCTTGGATACATCCAAGACCTACAAAGACTGCAATTGACTGCAATAAGCAACTACAACGGTTTGTATTCAAACAGAGGGACCCCCCAAACAATTGGTTTTTTGGCCTATTTCTCGAACCTTCCAGCGGGTCGTTGCCTGGGAGGTCTCCCTATTTTACACCCATCATATGCGGTGCGCGCACTGGCGCACCTCACTTGATCCACACTTGCAGTTCAAAGGATCACTTGATCAGGAAATCATGGCGGCCGAAGTCGATCTGTCCGTCGAAGTCGAGCGAAGCATGGAGTGTGACGGCACACGCAGGTTCTCTTGAACTAGATACACCCGAGCCGCAAAGAAGGCACAGGCAAGATGGCGCTCGGCGGGGTCGGTTGGGTGTAGGGGATCAAACATCTGGATCTTGGACGGCATATTTTGACATTCGAACCCGTTCAAAACCATTCTGCCCCGTTTTTGAACGTTCAGACGTTTTTGTGGCGTAACGTTCAGACGTTTTTTGTGGCGTTCAAACCTTGAAAGACCTATGGTTGTCCTGATTGATTTGGTGTAGAAATGTTTGGGCTTTACCAGCCAATATTTCTCTCTATCTCTCTCTCTCTCTGTAAAACAACAGATATGAACGCTTCATTCTGGGCGCCCTACATGGGCAACCCCTGAAGATGTGAAGCGAAGAACGTGACTGCCGGTTCTCTGTTCGACGCCTCAAAGCGCGTTTGGATGGGAGGTGCAGCCGTTCGGCGACGCCTCCAGGTAGGCGGTGAGGTCCTTGGCGACAAAGTAGGCCGCCATGGGCATGCCGACCTGAGAGGACGAAGCATGTCCGGAAGCTTCAAGGAAAAGAGCTCGCCTCTGCCCCGCCAAAAAAAGAAACAGGTGCGGTCCGCGCCCCTTTGGAGCGCCAAAATGAAGGGGCTCGCCCGCCCTGGAGTGCAACGAGGTGTATAACTCATCGAGCGATCCCAAAGGCCTGCAGGTCCAAAGGTCGTCGGGTGCGGACGTCTGACGTTCGACAAAAGGAACGCCGCCACGGGAACGGCTTTTTGACTCACTCACCAGGTCCAACCGCTTCTGTCGGATAACAATTCCATTCCCAAACAAAGGAACGTCGCAAAAGGCCGTCCACTGATTGGGTTGCAAGTTGCCACCGATTGGATGGTTCTTTGGATCGCCTTTTCCAACCAATGCTGACCGTCACCAGTGACGAACAGCATGGCACTCAGTGATGAAGAGAATGCAGAATGGCCTTCATTTTGTGGCAGTCGATGGAGGAACTTTCATACCTCCTGGATCTGGGGTCTTCACCAAGCTTCCTTGAGCGTAAGAGCCGAGCTGAACAAAAACTCACCATTGTGGAACCAATTCTGTCCAACAATCCAGCAAATATGTTGTCGATGGTTGCTGGCTTGGAAATTTCCTCGTCTGTTAGTAAGGATTCCAAGGGGATCTACTGGTTTCCGTTCGTTTGCACAGCACAATCCACAAACGGCGGCCTTTCCAAGAAAAACGGCGCATGCCCATCTGGGCATCCCAGCTCGTGCTTCTCGCCAGGTGATGAGGAGGTCACCACCTGCTAGTCTTCTTGCTTTGACCAACCAGCCAAATCTGGGTCTAACCACCTTGCATGGTAGGACCTCAACCTGATTTTTGACCCCGAACCAGCGAATGAACTTCTTTTTTTATTAGAAAAAAACTTCCAAGCGACTGTGAGCCAGCACTTTAGAATCTAGAAGGGACTTTCCAGGTGACTTTGACGAAGCTAGATTGTAGTTGAAACATGGATGATGACATATGATGACCACTCACCTAACCTGTTGTGTCCCCACATGTCCCCACATGTTGTGTCGGGCAAGACTTGGCCACAATTCTGGTGTCCCTATGTTGTTGAGTCCTTGAATTTTTATTCACACACGCACACCAATAGAATCACTTACATGTGCAGCTCTAAGAATCGTTTGGACCCTCAGAAACTCCGCAAGGGGGCATCCAAAGAAGCTTTTGGGTTTCCTCTGTACCCGCAGAACCCAGTTTCAGAGCCCCGATGCTAATTCTGAGAAGGTAAGACATTCACCAGTTGGTTGGTTTCAACTCACTTGACCTATGTGGGCTCAATCATCCCAATGATTTTTGGTTGAAACATAAACATACCCTCCTTCAAACAGTCATAGAAGCGGAACACAGGGGAAGGTCCACGTATCCACGGGGTCTCTGAAACCACCCATCTGCGACTCGGCATTCCGGCCAAAGACTTGTTGAGCCGCGACGCCCTGAGCGATACCGATCTCGGCCGCCCTCGATGCATTCGATGCATGGAATGGTTGGGTGGAAGACTCCGGAAAAACTTGTTTTTGGAAATTATGGGGCATCACGTCTCCAAAAAAACAAGCAAGGGAGTCTTGCTTTCAACATCTTTCAAAACAGCACACTGTAAGTTTAGAGCACTCTTTTTTTGTGGAGACACTGGATATCACTGGATCAATAACCGCAATAACCCCCCAGGTCAAGCAAATAGTGTGGAACATTCTATCAATTGGGAGGTCAATCATGAGGAGAGATCCCAAAAACAAGGTGATTTTATGGAAGGTTGAAGCTGTATGGAAAGGACCACCCCCTGGACTGCGGGAAAGGTTGAAAAGCCCCACCCGCTGGGGAATCCAAACTCTCTTGGGGTGGTGCAACGGGATGGGTCCTAATCAACGAGGGGACCCAACCACGAAAACCCTATGGCGCGCCCCTCAAAGGGGCCGAAACACACGGAAGCCGCACCGAGCGGCAGGGCGCCTTTTCTCGAGTGAGCCAGGGCTCAAGCGCTGCGGGAAAACAGTGCATGTCGCACATGAGACAAATCACATGCCGTCGCACCAGTCCAAGAATTTTCTTGGCTCTTGTGCGACCAGGCTCTGCAGATCGCGCATCTGCTGAATTGCGCTGTTGCCCATGCGCTTGGCCTTCTTCTCCGATTGGATGAAGTCCTCGTCGTAGCGCAGGCGCCAGGTGCAATTCTTTTTGAACTGCATCAAGCCTTCTCGGCAGGTTTTGCTCTTCTTGGTCAGGCTGTCTGACAGATTCCAGTCGCCACTGACCCACACCAGGCGACATCCACTTTCCTTCAGCTGCTCTTTCAGCTGATACCCTTGAAGGGCGCTTCTGGCATTGCTCATGCCTAAGAGCGGGGCATCTGTCTTGTTGCAAGCGTCGAACACCCCTTTGGAGTCGGTGACGACTATGCCCTTCACATAGCTGACCAGCTTGTTGGCCTTCTCCAGGATGTTGGTATCTTGGAGAGCACAGCAGCCGTTGAGTTGTGCCCACATGAACCTTACACGGAAGTTGGAGTCCTCCCCTTCTAAGGTCGCCTGCATTTCACCGTCGTTGGTGGATATTGCTTTGCGCTTCAAGCGCCAAGAACGCCAGCTGATGGTGTTCAGCTTTCCGGCATCTCCGGTGGCCTGCTCAGGGCCTCCGAGGCAAGTGAGGATGCCTCCTGTGGATCCACCCTGTGGCCTGTTGGCGTGTGCTTGATCCGCCATGGTCACGACCACCCATTGTTGCCAGTGATCGATATGTGGCAGCTGCCACAAGCGGATTTGCATTGGATCCTTCTTGAGGTCCTTGATCAACTGGTTGATCTCCACAGCAACGGCCATGTTCTTGTTGACGGTCAGCTCGGTGAGCAAAAGGTTCACCCTTGCGCAGGCTTGGATCTGCGTTTGAGTAGCAGTCCACTGAAGGGCTCCAAGTGAGGCTCTGCATGCCGCCATCTCGCCATCGGCGAGGCTGGTTTTTGGGTCAAGGCGAAGCCGTTCATCGCTGATGGCCAGCGGTGGAAGGTCCTCCAGGTAGAAGTCCTGGTTGAGCTCGACGTAGCGCTCCTTGTTCTTATTGACCACTTCCACATTGAGGCCAGTGTAGCGGAAGTTTTCCTCCTTCTTTGAACCCCAGGCGTAGAGCTCGTCGATGTTTTTGCGGACCTTGAGCCAGGTGTCATTGCTCAGGTCGCCAGCTCTCATGAAGTCGTCGACGTGGCCTCCGACAAAACCAATCAAGCGGAACTGATCCGCTTCGTTGATCGGGTTGGGATTCTCCTCCACCCAAATCCAGAAGGAGCTGTCCCCGATCAGGCGGTGAGCGCCAATGCTCTTGAGCTTGGTGTCCACATCACGCCATAGCTCTCGGGGTGCATCAGCATTGCCGTAGACATTGCGGAGGATGCGAAGCAGTTCTCCATCATGAGCTCCAAGTGCCTGTCGAAGCTCGGGCACGCCGGGTGTCCAAAGTTTTCTATCCTCCATCACCCCTTCTCCAGTTTGGAGGAATGCGGTCTTGAGGTCCAGACTCTCCAGTTTCCAATCGCGCTGGGCGATGACCGTGAGGGAGAGGTGCCTCATCAACTGGGTCGAAACTGGTGCCATGGTGACCAGGGAACCATCCTTGAGGTCGGGGTGCTGGAAGCCAAGAAGAACTATTCTCGCCTTCGCTTTGCGGGTGAGGTTCTCGTCATAGACCGTGGTGTCGGGGTTCGCGAGGCGATCAGCTTTGGCCTGAGCTCGGTCCTCTTCAGGGACAGGTTTCCATACCAGGACCCACCGTGCGCGAAGCACACGATCTGACTGTTGTGCTTCTTGTTGTTCTTCATAGGTCAAACAGCGTCGCACTGCTTGGGTCTTGAGGAAAGAGGAAACCTCGCCGCCCTTGGCATTGTTCATCAAGCGGCGCTCCTCCTGGTTGAGGTTCTTCCAGTGCACTTCGCTGGAGTTGAGCTTTTTCGCCAGGAACATCTCAGGATTCCTTTGGAACTGTTTCTTCTGGCGGTTGGAGGTGAAGTCAAGCTCAATCTCGAAGACATAGCCTTCTTGTACTTCTTGAAGTGCAGCTTGAAGGTCGAGTTGAAGATCATCTTGATCAGAATCGTCAGTGCGCTGCTTTTTGGACTCTGGTTCTTCTGGTAGTCCAGGATCAGCTTCATGAGGTAGAGGACCAGGAGGTGGTTCTTCCTGAAGAAGTGGCGTCTTGGAAGACGTTGAAGCTCTTCGCGAACCGGAAGCACTTGATGTAGGCTTTGTTTTGTCGCCTTCATCGTCCATGTTCTCATGGTCGGTCTTCTGTCGCTTGGACTCTTGCTCCTCATCCAGGTCATAGTCATTGACATTGGCTCCGTCATCCTCATCTTGTTGTGGAGGTTCGAAGCCAACTGGAAAGCCAGTGTCAGCCATTGGCATTTTGCCATGAAAGCGAATTGCCGGAGGAAGCGTTGAAGACGGAGGGAGTCTTGTAGTCCGCTCGTCGGGGATCTCAGGAAGGTAGGGTTCCTCAGTCTCGTCTTCGCCAGGCTCCTCTCCAGTCATGTCCACGAACTCGCGTTTGGGGATCATGTCGCTGAGCTGCTGCCAGGTATGAGAGTCATCTCCTTTGGCTTCAAACAGTAGCCTCTCGCGATCGGACATCGGGCGAACGGAGCGAACCGATGCCTTGTAGATGCGGTTGCCCAAAATCACCCAAACCACATGAACTCGATCTCCGTCTTCTTGACCGGGGATCAACTCGTGGAACACGACTCTGCCCGGACCTACCCATCGTGGTCGCTGAGTGTGCCGATGACCACCTTTCTTGCCAGCATAGATGGTGTGAGGCAAGAACTTGCGCCAGATGTAGACGGGTTCGGCCATCTTGAAGGTCCTTACGGGCTGTCTAATGGATGAGTTCTTGAGCTTTGAGAGTACCAGTCGGGCTTTTGCCTTGCGGGCACAGTCTTCCGCCAGTTCTCGTTGGTTGAGAAGTCGTAGGAACTCTTGTTGCTGGCGGTCGATGGGAAGGCTGAGCTGTTGGCGAAGTTCATCCAAGCTCCATGAAGTTTGCTTCCCATAGGCCCATTGGATGCTGGTGTAGCCCTTGACATACTCAGTGTTGTTGTTGGCCCCTGTGGCCATAGCCAGAGTGAGTACTGGATCTTGGTCAGGAAGGGACTGCTGCAAGAGGGATGCAGTCTCCTTGATGTGGCCAATTGCCCTTTCGGTGATGCCATGAGCCCAGCTTTCATTGTCCGGTGGAGGCATCACTTCAATTCCCAAGTCAGCTAGGAACTCGGTCAGCTTCTGAGAAACCAGTGACTTGGCATTGTCCGGAATGATTGTCTTCGGACGGGGCTTGTCCATCAGCCATCGAAGAGTGAGAGTCTTGATGACCAGGTCAGCCGATTCCACCTTGCACTCGCCGTGCTTGTAGGTGAAGAGTACCTCAGTGACTCGGTAGCGGGTGGCGATGTCCACCATGAGGATGAACTTGACCTTGAGGTTGCGATCTGGGACAGTCCATTCTCCCACATCAATTCCTAAACATTCCCAAGCGGCCGGTGCAGGATGCACAGATGCTGGAGGAACTTGTTTTGATGCTGTGCCACCAGGACGTAGCTCCTGACAGGTCGGGCAGTGGAAGTCTCGAGCCATTTGAATCTTCCACCGTGGCACTTGAGCATCAACCAGCATGCGCACCATGTTGCGGGGTGCAGGATGTCCGGAAGCTTGGTGAAGTCGATGTAGTTGGATAGCCCATTTCTTTTTGTCGTCCTCTGAAGGAGGTACTGCGTCATCTCCTTCTTCATCATCATCTTCTTGAGGTTGCCCATCTTGAGCTGCATATAGGGTGTGGTCCCCTGAAGTGGTAGGAACCATCGCTGTCCAGAGCATGCGCCACCAGCGATCAGGTAGGAGAACTCGCCGCCAATGCTTGGCAATGGAGCGGCACATAGCCTCTGGATAGTATGCGCTCTTGTTGGTCTCGATTCCATGGATCTGCTCGTGGGTGTGGTTCTTCAAGCAGACCTTGAGGCGGAACTCGGAGTAGAAGTGGATGCTCGTGGTCTTGATCATCCATGGCTTCATCAAGAAGTTGCCAGCCTCCGACTTTAGTCCATACCGGCAACCATCGATCCGGCATTCATAGAGGTTGCGAAGGCTTTCAAAGAACTTGAGGATGATCGGGTCGTTCCATGCTCGGCATCGAAGAGGCCATTCCCAGAAGAGGTCGGTGTCCGGGAACTAGTTGAGCACCTGCAGCAGGAAGGCTGTGAGAAGACGGAACATTTTCCGCTCGCGCCTCCGGCGCTTGTCCAGCACTTCTCGTCGATCATGGTAATTGAGATCGACCCAGCTGCAGAAGAGAGTACACATAGTTGAAATCCACACTTTCTTGGGGCGTTGTTGACGAAAAAGATGAAGTAGTGTGGTGTAGGTTTCCGGCTTGTAGAGGTCGAAGCCTTGAGCGAGGTTGA